ACTCACCAGGACAGAACATAACATATCAGGACAAAATAGAATGTGATACAAGAGAACTAGACAAAACAAAATAGTGACAAAACAGATTAATACTTTTCTGTTGTAGTACTACTCTGCTTTATCAGTGTTAGTTTTTTTTTCGCTATTCTGTTTTAGTACTACTCTATTTTGTAACTGTTTTGTTTTTTTTATGTTCTATTTTATGCTGTCCTGATATGTCAGTTTATGTGCTGGTTAGTTCTGTTTGGTCTTGGAACCTTTCTTAAAACTGAAGATTTCATAATGTGTTTTTTTTTGGTGTGATATTTTATGAATAAATAGATAAATATATTAATTGCAAGTATTATATGAATGCTTTCACGTTTTACTGTACTAACAAAACAACTTGAAGTATACGCGAATCGAATATTATACGTAATCTACTGTTATCAGTAATTATATAAAGTGAGTATTATATTTTTTGTTATTTTGATTTTGTGATATCCATCAGCGTTTAAATTAGAAATACACCAAATAATTTATTTTTACTTATGGTTTAATATTATTTTCTTCTTATAACATATATAATGAAATTAAATTAATTGTTGTATTATTGCATTGCTTGAAAACAATGATTTAATATTATACAGATTCAATGTAATATATTTATGTAAGGATTTTACAGATTTGCACAAAGTAAGGATAATAACAGCCCCATGGGCTAAAATACTCGAACACACTTGGAATAATGTTTGAATGAATGGAGACCATTGTTAATTAATGAAGAAAATTATGAATTTAGTTTGCTTCACGTTGACATTTAAATAAAACTACAAACAGAAATCACAAAAATGTTGACACGTTTAGAAAATTTCATAAGCCACAAAAAAATTACTACAAGTACTACAATAACAATCTCCTTATTGCAAATTTTTTAGTGGCTTATCAGTATATACTGACTTATTAATATATACATTTTTTATACGAAATGTATAAAAAAATGTAAATATTGGTGCTCAAAGTAACAAAATAATCGATTAAGATAAGATAAAGAATAATCATCAAGTTAGATCTTGATAACATTAAAGGTTAATTGATTAAAAAAAAACTCTATATATATATATCAGTTTCTCATAAGGTTTCCAATAAAGTTGGATGCAAAAAATGTGGCGTATTTTGGGAATACTGTGTCTGGTCAGTGCCATCCAAGGGACTAATATATTGTACATGTGCCCCATAATTTCGCCGAGTCACCATTTCTGGAACGAAGTCCTGGCCAACGGATTAGCGCAAAGAGGTCACAACGTCACGATCCTCTCCCACGACGATATTAGATTGAAGCATGAGAACTATACTCTGGTTAAGTTCGAAGGTAATTGAGTTAACAATGGAAAACTTTCCGTTAATCAAGTGTACGTTGCGAAGGGATTTACGAGGCTCTCGATGGGTCGTTCGATCTGGAAGGTTCCCCAAAGATGAGCACGATAGCATCGATGGATAGACTGTTCGAAGGTACCATCGCGATGTGCAGCATAGTTTTAGAGACGGAGGGCTTTAAACAAATATGGAACTATCCTAAAGATTTCAAATTCGATTTGATCATCTGGGATGCAAACGGAGGAGAATGCATGTATCCTTTAATCAAAAGGTTCGGCAATCCTCCGGTTGTAGTTGTATCGCCATTTGGGTTGCAGCCGTCAATAAGCGATTACATGGGCCATCATGTGCACAGCTATTCCCCATTCATGATCTTCCCTTTCACAGATAAAATGACTTTCTGGCAAAGAATGTTCAATGTGGTCTACACGAATTACGTAGTTTACTACAGGAAATACTTTTTCTTGAAGAAACAACAGCAAATCGCCAAGGATAAATTCGGAGTTGATATGGTTGATGACTTCCAAGCCTTGGAGAAGAACCTTTCCTTAGCTTTAGTTAATACCGATCCTGTCTACAATTACCCCGAAACCTATCCTCCCAACATCATCCCTGTAGCGGGTATCCATATACAACCACCCAAACCTTTGAACAAGGTATTATTATGATTAAATCGCAATCACATATCTTTAAATTAGAAATTTTAGGCTTTCTCCAAGATAATCAATGATAGTAAAAACGGAGTAATCCTCTTCGCGCTTGGATCCAACGTAAAATCCGAAAGAATCAATCCTCAAATCCTCGAATCGTTCGGCAAATGCTTCGAAACGTTACCATACACAATCTTATGGAAGATCAAGGACGGTAAAGATTTGAAACTGTCGAAGAACGTGATCACCGAATCCTGGATACCGCAGAACGACGTCCTAGGTGAATATGAAATTGAATTACTGAAGCGGGAAAATAAGTTATAATGAAATTCGCAGCTAATCCGAAGACGAAATTATTCATCACCCATGGAGGCGCTCTCAGCACTCAGGAATCAATCTACAACGGCGTGCCGATGTTGGTCTTCCCATTTTTCTACGACCAATTGAATATCGCAGCGAAGATCGCTGAACGGAAAATTGGAGATAAATTGGATTACTTCAGCATGACCCCGGAATACGTTTGCGGGAAAATTAATAAGATTCTCGGCGACGAGCGGTGAGTGCAAAAACGAAATTTTGTTTCATCATTTTTTTTTTATATATGTTTTTGAATGATGCCCCAGGTATACGAGGAACGTTAAGGTCATGTCGGATAGGGCCAGGGATCAACAGAACACGCCTTTGGAAAGTGTGCTTCTTTTTGGCCATCATCGTGGTTCCGCTGTTACTGATTAAATGCTACTGCTGTAAACGTTGCAAAAAAGACAAGAAAATCAAAACCAATTGATTCCTCGATTACTTTTAACTAACATCATTATTTTTATTTAATAATTTAAAGAAATTATGCATTTTGTTAGTTACTTACCACCACACAGTGGATTATGTCCCGCACTCTTTGAATCACTACCAATTGAGACATCGAAACCGCATCAATATAAATCATCATGTATAAAACATAATTTTGTGTACTATTTTTTTCAGAACATGTTTTTATTTTGCTTAATTAATTTTTTTTTTTTATAAATATTAATAGTTTTTCTATATTACCCATGACATTTTATTTTAGTTTAAATATGAATAATTATAACTAAATATATTGATTATTTTATTTAACTTGCTACACTTTGTTACACTTTTAGTGTACTTTTCAATTCAATTTTAAATTCTTTTTATTATGTTTAGAGGTGTTACAGTGTTATTACATTGGTTAGTTTTGTGGCTTTTTGCGAGCTTAAGCTCTTTGAGCCTTGATAGTGTACTTTTACTGTCATCGAACATGATAACTAACAACTAACTACATCTCAAAACGGAAAATTTCTTAATATTAAAATATATTATGAAATTTTTAATTTTATTGAATAACTTTATAATGAATATAAATATAAATACTTGTATAGTGAAACATATTCAAAAATACACATAATATGTGTACAAAAGTTTAAAAATGTTGTAGCAGGCGCGCAATCTGGGACTTACCTTCTGATAGTCACTCGTTATGCGAAGTGTCGCTCGTTAAGCGAGTCATTTTTCTTACAAATAATTTTGCTCGTTAAGTGAAATGCTCATTAAGCGAGGTTCCACTGTACAGTGATTATTTTATTATAGTTGGTATACTTTGTTAAGCTTTTTGCGTAGTTTCAGGTAATCGGACCAAACAAAACTCACCAAGACAGAATATAAAATATCAGGACAAACTAGAATATGATACAAGAGAACTAGATAAAACAGATTAATACTTTTCTGTTGTAGTACTACTCTGCTTTAACAGTGTTTTTTTTTCGCTATTCTGTTTTAGTACTCTATTTTGTATCTGTTTTTTTTATGTTTTATTTTATGCTGTCCTGATATGTCATTTTGACCTGATATGGTTAGTTCTGTTTGGTCTTGTAACCTTTCTTAAAACTGAAGATTTCATAATGTGTTTTTTTTGGTGTGATTGGTCCAAATATGTAATATTTCTATATTACAATATTTTATCTTTATAGGAGATTTTATGATTGAATAGATAAATATATTAATTGCAAGTATTATATGAATGCTTTCACGTTTTACTGTACTAACAAAACAACTTGAAGTATACGCGAATCGAATATTATACGTAATCTATTGTTATCAGTAATTATATGAAGTGAGTATTATATTTTTTGTTATTTTGATTTTGTGATATCCATCAGCGTTTAAATTAGAAATACACCAAATAATTTATTTTTACTTATGATTTAATCTTATTTTCTTCGTATAACATATATAATGACATTAAATTAATTGTTGTATTATTGGATTGCTTGAAAACAATGATTTAATATTATACAAAGAGATTCAATGTAATATATTTACGTAATGATTTTACAGATTTGCACAAAGTAAGGATAATAACAGCATCATGGGCTAAAATACTCGAACACACTTGGAATAATGTATGGATGAATGGAGACCTTTGTTAATTAATGATGAAAATGATGAATTTAGTTTGCTTCACGTACAAACAGAAATCACAAAAATGTTGAGACGTTTAGAAAATTTCATAAGCCACAAAAAATTTCTACGAGTACTACGATAACAATCTCCTTATTGCATTTTTTTTGTGGCTTATCAGTATATACTGGCTTATTTTTTATACGAAAATGTATAAAAAAATGTATATATTGGTGCTGAAAGTAACAAAATAATCGAAATATAGAACTGTTTGAACTTCACCCGTCATATGAACTTACGTCATTTGTAATTAAGGTGTAGATTGGAATTATTTATAAACATAAGTTTGATCTATTATTAACTATATAAAATTAAGTCTAATTTTTAGCTTATTGCAACGTCAATGTGTATTAATCAGCACCAGCGTGACAACAAATTTATTCGCTAAATTTTGTGGGTGTGGATTAAGATAAAAAGAATAATCTTCAAGTTAGATCTTGATAACATCTTACATTAATTGATAAAAAAAACTATATATATATAAATAATAAAAAAACGTTGGAAATCTCAGTTTATCATAAGGTTTCCAATAAAGTTGGATGCTAAAAAATGTGGCGTATTTTGGGAATACTGTGTCTGGTCAGTGCCATCCAAGGGGCTAATATATTGTATATGTGCCCCCTAATTTCGCCGAGTCACCATTTCTGGAACGAAGTCCTGGCCAACGGATTAGCGCAAAGAGGTCACAACGTCACGATCCTCTCCCACGACGATATTAGATTGAAGCATGAGAACTATACTCTGGTTAAGTTCGAAGGTAATTGAGTTAACAATTGAAAACTTTCCGTTAATCAAGTGTACGATGCGAAGGGATTTACGAGGCCCTCGATGGGACGTTCGATCTGGAAGATTCCCCAAAGATGAGCACGATTGCATCGATGGATAGACTGTTCGAAGGTGTCATCGCGATGTGCAGCATGGATTTAGAGACGGAGGGCTTTAAACAAATATGGAACTATCCTAAAGATTTCAAATTCGATTTGATCATCTGGGATGCAAACGGAGGAGAATGCATGTATCCTTTAATCAAAAGGTTCGGCAATCCTCCGGTTGTAGTTGTATCGCCATTTGGGTTGCAGCCGTCAATAAGCGATTTCATGGGCCATCATGTGCACAGCTATTCCCCATTCATGATCTTCCCTTTCACAGATAAAATGACTTTCTGGCAAAGAATGTTCAATGTGGTCTACACGAATTACGTGGTTTACTACAGGAAATACTTTTTCTTGAAGAAACAACAGCAAATCGCTAAGGATAAATTCGGAGTTGATATGGTTGATGACTTCCAAGCCTTGGAGAAGAACCTTTCCTTAGCTTTAGTTAATACCGATCCTGTCTACAATTACCCCGAAACCTATCCTCCCAACATCATCCCTGTAGCGGGTATCCATATACAACCACCCAAACCTTTGAACAAGGTATTATTATGATTAAATCGCAATCACATATCTTTAAATTAGAAATTTTAGGCTTTCTCCAAGATAATCAATGATAGTAAAAACGGAGTAATTCTCTTCGCGCTTGGATCCAACGTAAAATCCGAAAGAATCAATCCTCAAATCCTCGAATTGTTCGGCAAATGCTTCGAAACGTTACCATACACAATCCTGTGGAAGATCAAGGGCGGTAAAGATTTGATACTGTCGAAGAACGTGATCACCGAATCCTGGATACCGCAGAACGACGTCCTAGGTGAATATGAAATTGAATTACTGAAGGGGGAAAATAAGTTATAATGAAATTCGCAGCTAATCCGAAGACGAAATTATTCATCACCCATGGAGGCGCTCTCAGCACTCAGGAATCAATCTACAACGGCGTGCCGATGTTGGTCTTCCCATTTTTCTACGACCAATTGAATATCGCAGCGAAGATCGCTGAACGGAAAATTGGAGATAAATTGGATTACTTCAGCATGACCCCGGAATACGTTTGCGGGAAAATTAATAATATTCTCGGCGACGAGCGGTGAGTGCAGGAACGAAATTTTGTTTCATCATTTTATTTTATATATATTTTTGAATGATGCCCCAGGTATACGAGGAACGTTAAGGTCATGTCGGATAGGGCCAGGGATCAACAGAACACGCCTTTGGAAAGGGGAATATTCTGGGTCGAGTACATTCTGAGGCACGGAACTGCGGAGCACTTGAACCTGGTGATCCGCAACGCCTCCGTGTTCGAATCCCTCAATTTGGATATCATGTGCTTCTTTTTGGCCATCATCGTGGTTCCGCTGTTACTGATTAAATGCTACTGCTGTAAACGTTGCAAAAAAGACAAGAAAATTAAAACCAATTGATTCCTCGATTACTTTTGACTAACATCATTATTTTTATTTAATAATTTAAAGAAATTATGCATTTTGTTAGTTATTAAAAAAATTTCATTAAGATTACAATAAATGTCTGTCATTGAATATAACTAGTATTTTGTTAGTTTTCGATAACCTTAAATATTATATCTTTGTTATTGTTGTGGCTACGTTAATCTAAAGAATACAAGTATGTATTTATATTTCTTTAAATTTGTACTTATTTAAATTTGCATATATCCATTATTACTTAAAACACATAGTTAACAAATTTCATAGAATATTTTATTTAATATAATAATTATCAAGTATTTTAATAAATATATAGCTAATATATGTAATATCGATAATATGAACTAACCATTTACAAATTAAAAAAAGTATTTAGTTATTGTAAATGTCAAATCAATCGGAAATAAATTTATAAGCTTGTTGTTGTTTGTCGTGTCTCACACATGTTATTTTTGAACAGCGTGCATACATAGTAGGATTTAATTATTAGGTAGTGAATGCCTGCAGCTATATTTCTACATTTTTATTTGAAAGTTGATGCATAATAACATCTAGTCAATTCCTGTTAATTGATTTCGCCAATGTTGTGGACTGTATAATGGAATTATATTCATATAAAAAATAAATTTAAAATTAATTGATTTTATGTTTTAATATATAGAACGAAATATCTTCTTAATTGGAATTGTAGGATATAAAAATAGTCTTTACAGGAATCCTAACAAATCTAAATATTTACAGATAATTGTTTCATCCGCTTAATGGTCATTGATTTCAAGCAGCTCGTATATCCATTGATGTTGGGCATAACAATCTATGCATATGGGCTTGTACTTGTATCAAAACATCACAGTCCTTTGTCAATAATCACCGAAGCAAACAGTTCAGCTATGTAACAGTTTAGACTATTACAAAATAAATAACATTTACATTCTGTTATATAAAGTCTGCATTTGGTTAATCTTTCTTTGCATTTTCTTTAATTTGGTATTAAATTTACATTATTTCATACACAAATTTCATATATTGTCCTCATTTTACCTTGTACTAACTTAAATTCATATATCTTTATTAAACCTCAAATTAACCAATGAAGTCGTTATTTGTTTGTTACTAGAATAAATATATTTAGTTTAATATATTTAAATAATAAAAATATTATATAATTTAGACGAAAATTATTAAAAAATAGGCAAAAAATTAACTTGTTTATATACTAACAATCATCATTTTTAAATGGTGTGTGCACATTACGCATTGCACTCTTTGTGTGATAATAAAGGTATGCTTCGATTCACAAATGAAAAAGACATTTTGTTGGTTTTGAAGAAAAATTAAAATGGTTTTACAATCTTTTGTGCGAAGAATTATTTGGATTTTCGAACGGAATTTAGGAACAAATTATGTTCGAAAACCTAGTTTCCACTAAATATATTAGATTTTTAAGTAAAATATAATACAACAAATCCTCGCATAGTGCGGTTTCAGTATAGTCGGTTGGAAATTTTCCAAACAAACTACATTTTAATCGAACAAAATAAAAATAAATTAGTACAAAAATATATTGAAAATTCATAAATTCAATTCAATAATCAATAATCCTTTTTTTAAATTATAATTATTATTTTTGGAACTCATATTTAATTGTGTTATTACATGTTAACAATTAACAAATGAACTGTTTATTTTAAAGGAATAAACGTTGATTACTAATTTATTTAGATAACCAAAGTCTTATATAATTTTAATTATCTATTATTAAACTAAGCAAGTTTTTATACTAATCAGTTACACGCATAATTAAATAATTACGTATACGTTTTTATTATTGTTAATGCTATGAGAATAAATCAATTTTGTTTGCATTTACGTATTATGTAATTACGTCACAAAACTATTGTTAACTTGTAATCGATTATATTTAGTATGCGAAATTACTGAAGTGGAATGGATCACGGAAATTATGTAACTTATAATGACAAAAAATGCATTCAACTATGAAAAAAAAAAGTGTATTAATTTGAATTTGAACCGAAACGAATTGATTTTAATATTAAAATGAATGAGAAGGTAAAGGTTGCAAAATCGCATTACCAGTCTTAAGATGCAAAACTGGCACCATAATTCGCATTAAGGAAATGTTACGAGCCGAGTTTATGATCAAACTTTTATGTGAAAATCGATTTTCGATGCGGCCTTCGCGCAGATTTGGAAAATTCTACAAATAAAAATACGTTAGAAAATGTATGTACATTTTATATACACATCTTGTATTCAGCCAAATGGAATGTTTTAGTGTTGGATAATATCGTTCGAAGTTTATAGCGTGAAACGTGCTAGTCCATCCACTAATAGATACTCCATGTAATAAAAACTAAGTGCATCGTTGAAAATACTTTCGGTTCGGAGTAAATAAATACAACGAAACTTTTATGAATGGTAAAATAAATTAATGAAAGTTATTGCCGGTTTGACTTACTAATAGAATTAAACATATACAGATGTCGAATTAAAAGCGTAGTGAAAGGTTTCAGCTCAGGAATTCTGGTAATACGTCAATAGGGGTTTCTGTGATTAAATACAGTTTGGAATGAAAAGAAGTAATACACGATCGTGTAGTTCGTTTTTATATGACCCGAGTAGCAATTAAGTTAATTGATTTAAAGAAAGGTTTAGAAAATTCGCTCGCTCACGATAAATATATAAAAAAAAGGTTTGATTTAACGGATCTGCGGAAAGGTTATAGGCTACAATTAAATACTGCTAGTAATTAATAAAAGTATTAATTGCTTTCTTTATGATATTTTAAAATTTTGTAGTATTTCAGGTACAAATAATGTTTCATTTGTATAAAAATGAAATAGAAAGCAAATAATATTTTATATAAGAGCAAAGAAAAGATTAATATTATGTAAAGAGGCATATTTTTCTTACTTCTTTTTTGTCAATAAAACTTGAGAAAAGTAATTAATTACTGTAATTATTAATCAAATATATTTGCTTTATTATCATATTATGTTTAATTAACTATGTTTGTGAACATTTTGAAGTAGAATTTATCAATCAGAATTTATAAAGAATCATATCAAGTGTTTATTTTTGAATGATCGTTCTGTTTTTCAATTTTTATTATTTAAATTTAAAGGTCAATTTTAGAACGCGTGTATACACACAGCTTGTTTAGGTGAGTAACTACAATTAATTTTAAGTACATAAATGCAGAGTTCCAGGATTAAATATCTGCGGACACAGTGGATTATGTCCAACACTCTTTGAATCCGTACCAATTGAGGACTTCAAAATTGCATAAATATAAATCATCATATATAAAACATAATTTTGTGTACTAATTTTTTTTTTGAGAACATGTTTTTATTTTGCTTAATTAAAATTTAGTTTTTTTTTGAACATATTATTTTTTCTATATTACTCTTGATATTTTATTTCAGTTTTAATATGAATAATTGTATATACATAATTTTGAAACGTAATCGTTATCTGTTGATTACTAAAATCAAGGTCAATTTCATAGAACTCGTGTATAAATTTAGGATTGAGACATACAACAACAATATACAAAGAATTTACGTTACAAAAAAATAATAAGTTTTTTTTATTGGAAAAATTTATGATTCATTAAAAATTTGTTAAATAATAAATTATTATTTATTCGTTAATCGTAACATATTTTTTCCGTTTGATTGTAAATAAAAAAACAAGTTTGATATAGTTTTATAAATAGTATAATAAATAGTATATTTATCTTATAAAATCTCTACAGGTTAGAAGGTGATTAGTAATAAATATTTTTTATAGAAAAGTAGTGATGATAAACTATTATTTAATGATAATTTCTGAAATGATTTAGTTATGCGAGGTGAATTCAGTCGACTTTAACTTTGTTTATTTGTTTCAGAAAGATGATGTAGACTAAGTAAACTAGAAGTAGTGCGGTTGCAATTAAGACGGCAACCAAGCCAATTATATCAATGTTGAGCGTCTGAAATGTATACATATCTCTGGCCGCTAAACTTAGATGTTCCCCATTCCCGTTCCTCAGTATATATTCAATCCAAAACACGGCTCTCTGCAAAGGGGTGTTCTGTTGATCCTTGACCCTTCTCGAAATTAATTGCACGTTCTCATAATAGCTAGAGATTCGTATAAAAAAAATAAAACCGAAATTAAAGAAATTAATTAACATCGTTTAATTGGTATTTACGTGGAATTTTCAAGGACGGTTTTGATTTTCTGACAGATATACTCTGGCGATAGCTTGTCGAATTCCAGCCTCTCTGCGATTTTCCTCTCCACCAGTTTAGCAATGTTTCCAAGTTGATCAACAAAGAATGGTATTCCAACTATTGGTACGCCATGGTACATAGCCTCCTGCGTGCTCAAAGCTCCTCCATGTGAAATGAAAAGTTTCGTTTTTGGATGGCCCAAAATATCGTTGATTTGTAACCAAGGCCTGGTAATTACATTCTTCGGAAACTTTCTTTGATGCGTATTATTGTATTTTAAAATGAAGGTGTACGGGAGCGTTTCAAAGCAGCGATTGAAATTGTTCATCATATTATCGTTAAGAAATTCGGCTTGGATGTTTGAGCCTAGAGAGAAAATAATAACGCCGTTGGTTGATTCGAAGACCTTTCTCAAGTCCTGAAAAATGGTTGTCAAAGAATTTTTAAAAAGAAGAAGATATGTTGTTACCTTCTGGATGGGCTTAGCCGGTTCTATGTGCAAACCTCCGACGGGAATAATATTCGGCGCAAGGGCTTCGGGGAAATTAAAGATTGCATCGCTGTTCACTAATGCCAATGAGAAATTCCTTTCGACTTCCAACGCTGGCTCCGTGAGTGAGCTCCCAAAATGTTCGTATGCTAACGTTTGCATGGTCGGTAAATAAGAATTGATCCTCACATAGGTGAGGTAGTTTATGGAGAGCGTGTTCGAGATACGCTCCCAGAAAGACATGGCTCCACCCGTGTATGATGTACCGTAAAACGGAATGTAATTGAAATAATGACTTCCCATCATATAACTGATGTAAGGCTGTAATCCAAACGGCGATACACCAACGACCGGTGGATTTCCGAATCGTTTAATTAACGGGTAAAGGCATTCGCCTGAGTTTAAATCCCAAATGATTAAATCAAATTTGTAGTCCTCTGGGTATTTCATTAGGGTTTTTAGGCCCTCTGTAGATAAGTCGTGAGCGCATATTAAACCAATTACTTTCCAGAAATTGGAGATGTCTGCCGATTCCGGTTGAGAAAAGCTCTCCTCATAATCGAATAGTTCATGAATCTTCTCATATCCACCTAAGATTAACTATATATTTTTCTAATCGTAAACTCATCAATAATTTACCTTCGAGCTGGATGACCGTGTAATTCATGTGCTTGATCTTGGCCTTATCGTGCGACAGTAGCGTAACGTTGTGTCCATTTTTCAACAATCCTTCGGCCAATTTTTCATTCCATAGATGATGGCTGTGCGAGATCATACTAGTAACACCAAGTATATTTGCGCATTGCGTCGCAGAAAACGCGTGAACGAGCAACAGCAAAGTAATCCTCGTCATAATTAGAACGTTTCGACGGATAGAAAACGACTGATCGCAGATTTTCGTGTTTTCCGCCTCCATTTAGTTGCTCCGTCTAGAGCGCATGATTACTATTACAACATGTACTTATTCCATTCTATTCATTGTCAATTAGATTTACATAAATTATTGATGCAAACAATTTCTCAATCAGAAGCTTATAAACAGTTTACATGTCTTGTAATTAATCCAAGATATTTCTTTATTTTCTGCGTTTATGTATTTTTATATTCTATTTAAACAGTATTTTTTCTTATACAATTTATAAAGATGAAAGGTGATACGAACAAATAATTTATTTAATTGAATAATGATAATAAAGTATTATAAATGTAAGAAATAAATACATCTCATCGAAGGGCTATCGACCAAGAACTTATTGTATATAATTATAATTAATTCTAAATGAAAATAAAATATTTTAGTAATTAATTATAATTATACATAGATTAAATGCAATGTGTAGTCAGCCGACCTTAAATTTGATTCTCTGCTTTTGAAAGATGGTGCAGGATAAGTTAATTAGAGCTAGTGCGGTTGCAATTACGACGGCAACAAAGACAAGTATATCAAAGTTGAGGGTCTGAAATGTAAACATATCTCTAGCCGCCGAACTAAGATGTTCCCCATCACCGTTCCTCAGAATGTATTCAATCCAAAACACGGCCCTCTGCAAAGGTGTATTCTGTTGATCCTTGGCTCTTTTCGAAATTAATTGCACGTTCTCATAATACCTAGAGATTCGTAAAAGAAAGAACAAAATTAAATAACATAATTATAATCCTTTAATTGGTATTTACTTGGAATTTTCAAGCACGGTCGTGATCTTGTGACAGATATGCTCCGGCGAAAGCTTGTCGAATTCCAGCTTCTCGGCGATTTTCCTCTCCACCAGTTTAGCAATGTTTCCAATTTGATCTATAAAGAAAGGCATTCCAATTATCGGCACGCCATGGTACATAGCCTCCTGCGTGCTCAAAGCTCCTCCATGCGAAATGAAAAGTTTCGTTTTCGGGTGGCCCAAAATATCGTTGATTTGTAACCAAGGTCTTGTAATTACATTCTTCGGAAACTTTCTGTGATGCGTATTATTGAATTTCATAATGACGGTGTATGGAAGCGTTTCGAAGCAGCGATTGAAATGATCCATCATATTTTTGTTAAGAAATTCGGCTTGGATATTGGAGCCGAGAGAAAAGAGTATAACGCCGTGGGTTGTATCGAAAACCTTCCTCAAGTCCTGAAAACGGTTTTCAGTGAAATTTAAAGAAAACAAGATGATGGGAATACGCTGTTACCTTCTGAATGGACTTAGCCGGTTCGATGTGCAATCCTCCGACGGAAATTATATTCGGCGCAACGGCTTCGGGGAAATTAAAGATTGCATCGCTGTTCACCAATGCTAAAGAAAAATTCCTTTCAACTTCCACCGGTGGTTCTGTTAGAGAGCTTCCGAAATGGTCTTTTGCTAACATCCGCATCTTCGGTAAGTAAGAATTGATTCTCAGGTAGGTGAGGTAGTTTATGGAAAATGTATTCGTGAGACGATCCCAGAAGGACATGGCTCGACCCGAGTATGATGTACCGTAAAACGGGATGTAATTGAAATAGTGATGTCCCATCATGTGACTGATGTAAGGCTGTAATCCAAATGGCGATACCCCAACGACCGGTGGATTTCCGAAGCGTTTAATTAATGGGTAAAGGCATTCGCCGGCGTTTAAATCCCATATGATCAAATCAAATTTGTAGTCCTCCGGGTATTTCATTAGGGTTTTTAGACCCTCTGTAGATAAGTCGTGAGCGCATACTGTACCAAGCATTTTCCAGAAATTGGGGATATCTAACGACTCCGGTTGAGAAAAGCTTTCTTCGAAATTGAATAGTTCTTGAATATTCTCGTATCCACCTAAGATTAACAGTATATTTTTCTAATCGTAAACTAATTATTGATTTACCTTCGAGGTGAATGACCGTGTAATTCCAGTGCTTGATCTTGGCCTTATCGTGCGATAGCAGCGTAATGTTGTGTCCATTTTTCAACAATCCTTCCGCCAATTTTTCATTCCATATATGATGACTGTGCGATATTAGACTAGTGACACCAAGTATATTTGCGCAATGCGTCGCACTAAACGCGTGAACGAGCAACAAAAAAGTAATCCTCGTCATAATTTGAACGTTTCGACGAATCCAAAACGACTGGTCTTAGACAACTTAAGCTTAAAACATATACGTGTTTTCCTCCTCCCATTTTTGCTCGATTTCGATCGCATTTTTACTATTATAACATTGACGTTATTCATCTTGTTTGTTATCAATAACAATCATAATAAAATGCGACCGAAATTAGTGAGTTTAAAAATATTTTACACATAGTATTTATTTTAATTTATTTTCTTTATTTCTACGTTTTTTTTGTTAATTTAGAAAAATACAGTAGGAAATGGACATATGGAATTGACTCGACATGCAACTTACGTAACGCAAAACGGTAACCGATAATAAACGTTCCAATTTTACATAAAAGTGTCCGTAAATAATGTAATGTCATTTTAATAGATTTTCCGTAATTTAATTTTTAAAAAGTAATTAAGATTTATGTATTTTTATATTGTACTTAAATAGTTTTTTTTTCTCATTCAATTTCTACAGATGAAAGTTGATTTATAATAAATTATTTATTTATTTAATTAATGATGATAACCTTATCATCATTCTAATTCATAAGTCATTATTAAAAAGTAATTAAGATTTATGTATTTTTATATTGTACTTAAATAGTTTTTTTTCTCATTCAATTTCTACAGATGAAAGTTGATTTATAATAAATTATTTATATATTTAATTAATGATGATAACCTTATCATCATTCTAATTGAAAAAAATAAATACTTCTCGTCAAAGAAACATTGACCTTGATATTATTGCCTATAACTATAAATAATTCGAAATGGAGCTAAACGTTTTACTATTTAATTATAATTACATATAGATTAGATGTAAAGTATATTCAGTCGACCTTAAATTTGATTCTCTGCTTCTGAAAGATGACGTAGCATAAGATAATTAGTACTAGTGCGGTTGCAATTACGACGACAACAAAGACAAATATATCAATGTTGAGCGTCTGAAATGTAAACATATCTCTGGTCGCCAAACTTAGATGTTCCCCATCCCCGTGCCTTAGAATGTATTCTATCCAAAAGACGGCCCTCTGCAAAGGGGTATTCTGATGATCTTTGACTCTTTTCGAAATTAATTGCGCGTTCTCATAATACCTGCAGATTGATAAAAGAAAGAACGATGTTAAAAATCGTAATTAGCATTATTTAATTTGTATTTACGTAGAATTTTCAAGGACGGTCGTGATCTTGTGACAGATATGCTCCGGCGAAAGCTTGTCGATTTCCAGCTTCTCGGCGATTTTCCTGTCCACCAGTTTAGCAATGTTTCCAATTTGATCAACAAAGAATGGTATTCCAACTATCGGCACGCCATGGTACATGGCTTCCTGCGTGCTCAAAGAACCTCCATGCGAAATAAATAGTTTTGTTTTAGGATGGCCCAAAATATCGTTGATTTGTAACCAAGGCCTGACAATTACATTCTGCGGAAACTCTCTGGGAATTGTATTATTGAATTTCATAATGACGGTATACGGAAGCGTTTCGAAGCAGCGATTAAAATGATCCATCATATTTTTCTTAAGAGATTCTGCTTGGATGTTAGAACCCAGAGAGAAAAGTATAATACCGCGAGATGTGTCGAAAATTTTCCTCAAGTCCTGAAAATGTTTGCCTTCGAAATATAAAGAAAACAAGAGCATAGGAAGACGCGTTTACCTTCTGAATTGGCTTAGCCGGTTTGATGTGCAAACCTGCAACGGATATTATGTTCGGCGGAAAGGCTTCCGGAAAATTAAAGATAGCATCGCTGTTCACCAATGCTAAAGAAAAATTCCTTTCAACTTCCATCGGTGGTTCTGTGAGAGAGCTTCCGAAATGGTCGTTTGCTAACATCTGCATCTTCGGTAAATGAGAGATTATCCTCAGGTAGTTAAGGTAGTTTATGGAAAATGTATTCCTGAGACGGTCCCAGAAGGACATAGTTCGATCCGAGTATGATGCACCGTAAAACGGGATGTAATTGAAATAATGACTTCCCATCATGGAACTGATGTAAGGTTGTAATCCGAACGGCGATACCCCAACGACCGGTGGATTTCCGAAGCGTTTAATTAACGGGTAAAGGCATTCGCCGCCAATTAAATCCCAAATAATCAAATCAAATTTGTAGTCTTCCGGGTATTTCATTAGGGTTTTTAGGCCCTCCGTAGATAAGTCGTGAGCGCAAACTATACCAAGCATTTTCCAGAAATTAGGGATGTCTATGGTTTCCGGTCGAAATAAGCTTTCCTCATAATTGTATAGTTCGCGAATTTTTTTGTATCCACCTAGGATTAACTATATATTTCCTAATAATAAACTTATCAAAAAATTACCTTCAAGGTGGAGGACCGTATAATTGATGTGCTTGATTCTGGCCATATCGTGTGACAACAGCGTCACGTTGTGTCCATTCTTCAACAATCCTTCTGTCAATTTCTCATTCCATAGATGATGGCTGTGCGAGATCAGAGTTGTCACACCAAGGATATTTGCACAATAAGTCGCAGTAAATGCGTAAACGAGCAACAAAGAAATAATCTTCAACATAATTCGAACGTTTCAACGAATTGGAGACGACTGATCGGAGAAAAGCAATGCTTAGTAGATAAATGTGTTTTCCTCCTCCAATTTTGTTCGGTCACGAACACATTTTTACTTTTATACGTTCGCTTCATTGTTAATAACACTAAAATTAAATTGTGAGCATAATTAAAGATAATTACAATGACTGAATTGAAAGCGTATAAACAGTTTACTAGTCTTGAAGTTATTTATTTATTTTTTATATAAATTTTAAAGGAAATAAAACAGGAAACGGATATCTGGAAGTGACGCGACCTGTAACCTACGTTACGTAAAACGGCGTCCTTTATGAAACGGCCCAATTTTACTGTCCACATAAAAGTGTCCGTAAAGAATGCCATCATCGGAATTATGTCCGCATCCTACATACATGCATAAAAATAATGTTTTTTTCTTTTGGTGAAGGGATGAGAAATGCCGGAAACCCACGTAGTCGAAACCACCCTCACGGTCGGACACGCACGTCTTTTTTTACGATCGTTCGGTATTTGCATTTTTAACCAACCATCCGAACCCTGTTCCTGCTTTTAGATTAGAAACTTCTACATTTTTTTTTTGGTTCTGCATCCCTTTCGATGTGGTAAAAAGCTTGGTTTCCGAGCACGCAAGGAGCGGAGTAGATAGGTCCTTTAGTTTCGTGGGATAAGGTTTATTTGCGCGCAATACAATTGAGAATTTATGATGCCTTTTATCTCGCAGACCACGACGGATTTATGCCTTTTCGGTATAAATTATATTTACCTCAAAAAATACTGTTTTTTTCTCTCTTTTCTTTTAGGTGCACGCACAGCATGCGTTTTTTTCTCATTCCCTCAGTTTCTCAACACAAGCCTAAAAGAGAATTTATTTGCGCATTCCAAAGTTCTTTATTGCATCCGCTTCTATGCTTCAATAAATTTTACCTTACTGCCTTTCCTAACCAGATGTTTATTCTAAACTTACACTCAACAGCACTTAAGAATGAATGTTAAAAAAAAGTGTTTCACAAAAAAGTACTTCTTGTATATATTTTTTTATACAATTATTTATAGTATGCATTCAAATATTAATTAAAATGTTGTCATCTTTTCCATGATATCATTAAATAAATATAAATACGCTACAAATCAAAACACCTGATATAATTAAAGCAAACAGAGATTATATTTCTTTTCGAGGTGAAATTTGTTTTAAAAATTTTGTAAACTTTTAAAATTAGGCTTTTTCAATGATTAAAACATTTATAAAGAGGCATCTGTTATAAAAGGACAAGTTAGTTTTGAAGTATTGAGAAAAGCATAAATGAAAAATTTATCAAAAAAACTGGACTATTTTCTATAAAGACTTAGAGTAAAAACTGTAGAATATATAGGTCAAAATCTATTTTTTGATACAGAAACTCATTATTTTTTTATAATCTTGTTTAATGTATACCAAAAAAATATTTATAGATAATTGTATTTCATTAACCGTAATTATTTTTGTTTATCAATGCTTTGTATATTTTTCATTTAAATTCGTGATAAAAATTCTTTATTTTTTACAGACAGTGAATACAATTAAAATTGTTTTTCGACCAATTATTTTTATAATTATTACCAACATGCAGACAGTTTACGTAATAAGCAAATGAAAACAGTAAATTGATCTGACATGTATTAAATAATACTTAAACGATTTTCAGAATTAGTTGATAGTTATGTTTTAAGTGTTTTGTTTATTTATTTAAAAACGTGCTTTTTTTATTATTTTATATACTATGTATACAAGATTAGATATATAATGGCGAATATTTTTTCTGTCGTTTTTGGTAAACTTGTTTTTCAATTGGAATTTTTTTATACAATGAATGTTTTTTTAATAATTAATTATTAATTTCGAATAAATATGATAAAATATAGAAATATAAAAATTCTATTTTGTAAACAAAATGTGAGAAGTATAATTATTTACTATCATTTTATAATTGTCCAATCAATCAAAATTATTCAGCATATAAAATAAACACTTAATGAACACAATTATCAATGAAAATACAATATTTTTTTTTAATTAAAAGTCACTGTAATTTTCTAATAAATTCAATGTTTAATGTTTACTTTGAAAATCTATAATTTATAAAATTTTTAATTTAATAACTGTCAATTTTTATCAAAACGATTGTTTTCTTTTAATTTTATAAAATATTGTTATAAAAAGATAAATTGAAATTTTTATATGCAAAATGGTGAATATAAACATATAAAGTTCATTAAAATTGATCATCGACCTATTTCGGTATTTTCGTATCCTCTGCTTGTATTTGCAATAATAACCCAATTTAATTATACATTTGTTCATCAATGTTATTAAATATTTAATAACGTAACACAAATAACTTCTTTCGATTAGTCCGGTTTCGAATAAGAAACCGCACTATGAGAGGTATTGTTTTTTTTTCATTACATTCTCGTTACATTGCGTTCCCGTATTTCATCAATGTTATGACTTATTTTTTGTTGCTTATACAAATTATTTAACTAAAAACTTATAAAATAATAATTTATAATTAATAAAAAAGTTACATTTTTTTTGTATAATGGCGTTATTATATTCAATTGGTAGAAAGACCTTTGAATTGATTTTACAAATTTGTCGATATTTATAAAATTTCTAATTTTTATATAATCTCTCGTATTTTTTGTGATTTATTCAACAAATTCATAACGGATGATTATGGCCAAAGAAATGGTAGGTTCTGAATATTTTAACCGTTTTTTTTTTGCAAGATCAGAAAGGTACGAGGGATACTTTTCTTCAAGGGATTGACAAACTTTGTTGCCTTTATACTAAATTTACATGTTCCACAGATTCTCCAAAGCAGAAATCCTCAGCCTTTGCACGATTACCGAAAAGGATCACGTCCTTGGATTGATACAAAAAAAGGTAGTTCGAATCTACATTGAATCTTAATTCTAGTATCATACAAATAGTCTAGTAAATAATAATGATTTTTGATAATATAAAATAATATTTTATAAACAAATCTTTAAATTAGTTTATAGGTATTTAAATTGAATAAAAGATATGAATCAATTTCAAAATATTTGTAAAAATGAATGAAAATTAGATAATATATTTACTGAATTAATTTTCTAATGAAATAGAAACTTCAGATTCCGTTAATATTTAGCAATGTTTAAAATCGCACTAATCGAGGCCTTTAAAAATTCTATATAAAGAAAAAAGTATTTGATTTTCTCAATTCAAATTAGTTTAATTTCGAGATTTATACCATAGTAAATCCGCACTGATCGAAACAGCACAATCCCAGGTATCTTTGATCTAATTTGTAGGTATATGAAACTTAAATTGAAACAAATGAATATGAAATCGAATTCAAAATATTGATAAAAATGTATGAAAATTAGATAAGAACTGTTAATAAATTTATCAAATTAATTTAGAAAATTAACATTCTAATGAAATAATACAGGAATTAATATTCAGCACTGTTCGAAACCGCACTAATCGAAGTTTTTAAAATTTGCATATACATAAGAACAATAATATACTGTACTTTTTTCTGTATTAAAATTAAATTTGTAGAATAGTATATCCGCACTGATTAAAGCCAGAATATTCGAGTTATTGCTCTATTAAATATGAAATAGTTTTGATAAATATTAATTACATTATTATTATTTGAAATATTTTTAATTAATTTTTTTTTATTCAAATTAAATATGAAAATAACGAAGAATAATAGTTAAATAAAATGATTTATCATATTATTTCCATTGTCTTTCTGACGCTGTAAGTAATAAAAATATTTTTCATTTAAAAATTTAATTAATAAAAGTGCTTCCATTATTTTCGCGCGCCTTTTGTACGTACAATTGAATTCATTATTTCCCATTTGATATTTCCTATTAGAACATCCCCCTATTATTTCGTCCTTAAACACGCGTCTGCATCCTGTTTTTCTTTCCGTTTTTTCCCATCATCCTTCCTCCACTGCGCTACTCCTTCTTCCTTAGCAACGTCCTATTTTTCTCGCCGGGAAAACTGTTTTCTTTTATCTCGAAGCTCCTCGCCCCTCGCGACGGGAGGCTTTTCTTTGTGCTTCAAACAAACGCCTTTTGCGCACCACCCACGCAAACTACGCCATTTAGACCACATCAACAAGTAACGACGAAAAGGAATCTTGAGCGGGAAATTTTTCAAATAGTCGCAAACATTTTCAAAGGATTCAGGTGCATCCGTACAATGAAATATTTAGAGGTGATCCAAGAAAATCAGTTACCTTAAGATGTAACAGAAAACACTGTAAATCAATTATTGTTGTTGTTTATATTTCCAATTATACTTAAAAAAAATCATAGTGAAGTTATTCTAATTATTCGTAATAAATAAATTACATTAAGAAATTTGAAAGAAAATTAGATTTTTTTATATATTTACTATAATAGTTCCTCTATTTGATTAGTATGTAGAGTAAACTACGTCAATAATCTACAAAGTCATAAATAAACGATAAAATGCAGACATGTGTGCATTAAAAATCTGGTATAATATTTATGATTTGTCTTATAAAATTATTAATTTCATAGACTTCATAATCTTGTAAACTTTATATTTTAATATATGAAAATTGAGAAAATGCTACAAATTTTAATGGAAAATATTTGTTGTACATTTTTTTGATGTGTTTGATATGAAATGTTTGCAGGCGGTGTTTGTATAAGTTTGTTTAGATTGAAAAATAACCGGAAGTTCAAGTGAACAATCTTCGGTCGCAGTAGTTAACTTCGTTTATAAGGGATAAGCCAGAAACGCTCGAGGGTAGTTTCGGACTTGTTCAGTTCGCATCTCAATAAATCTATTATTATCTATTTATATCTAGTCTATTTGTTATATTTACTATAAATTTCCAAATACATTGTAGTTGGTTTCATTAATGTAAATATTTATTTAGAAACTTTTCTTGACTTTAAATCTTGTTTGGGATAATGCAAAAAAAAATATTTAATTATTACTAGTTTT